GTCCTCATACGGCCAGCGGTGAAGGACCACGTCTCTGATCCGTAAGTCATCACTGGCAACACGCACTGGTTGTACAGTTTAGCCGAGTTGAATCCGTCGATTGACCTCTCGGTCGAAGTTGGACTTACTTAGTCGGACTATTTGTCCCAGGTAAACGTACTCGTCAACAACTTCGAGCATAGTGCTCCCAACAACTACCGGCATAGGTGTGACATGGACATTAAACATGATCTTTATTTTGTCCATGTTCATCTTAAGACCTATCCGTTGGGAGACACCATTGAGGTCATTGAGCATAGTCCTCCAGCGATTCTGCCATAAGTACTATATCGTCGGCAAATCGAAGGTGAGTGATGTACTCGCCATTGATGTTAATACCGTGTCCTTTCCAGTCCAGTAGCTTGAAAACGTCTTCCAACGCAGAAGTGAAGAGTTTCGGGGATATAACGTCACCCTGTCTTACACCTCTCTGCAGTTGGATACGCTTCGAACGCTGGTTCTGTACTCGGATAGCCATCGTAGCCCTACTGTACAAACACTTCAGCACTTCGATATACCGACGGTCAACTTGGCACCGCTGAAGGGACTGTAGCACCGCCCAAATTTCGACGGAATCAAAGGCTTTTTCATAGTCCACATACGCCAGGCAAAGTGGCAGATTGTACTCTTCGGTCTTGTGTACAATCTGCCGCAGGGTATGTATGTGGTCTATGGTACTGAAGCCTTTTCGGAAACCGGCTTGTTCGGGAGGCTGGAAGTCGTCGAGTCCTCCTTCGCTATAGGTGATTTAATTTGAGATTCCTCATACGGCCAGCTGTGAAGGACCACAGTTCCGTAAGTCATCACTGACAAGCTGCACTAATTATAAGATATTGACTTAAGGTTTAGAGGTATATCGATATCGATACCACGGATGGTAAGTTCATGGATTGTAATACAAAATTCAAAATTTCAAATCATTTTTCTTGTATTCAAATATATACGAAATAAATTTAAAAAAAAACACTGAACATTTTTCTATATTATTTTGTATTTTCCAAAATGCGAAAATGAAAATTGATACATTACACTTATAAATAAAAAATGGATTTTAAACAATGTAGTATTCTAGTTTTTTGAACCGTAACGATGGTAGATTTTTGACGATCATAAAATATTGAAACAAGCTTAAAGTTAGACTTGATAAGTTGGTGTGACACTAATTTAAAACAATAATAACGAAGACATTATTTTTGGATGTTTATGGAGATCAAGTTAAGAGACCAGTCACTTCAAAATATGGTAAATGTAACACAGTTGCACGAAAATCGTTTACTGTACAACAAAATGTATACCCTTCGGAGGATACGTCAGGATGCCATGAGAGCCAGCCAAAGTTATTGTCCTCTCGACATATATCGTGACAGAAAAACAAAGCTCGTGCTTCCGCTGGCGTATAATGGGGATTATTGATGCCCACAAAAGCCATACCGCGCTTTGTTTTCGGCTCATAAACAACTTTATAATATTATTTCGGTACAGGAACCACCGGATTATTGTTAACATCTGAATAAAGATATATATCGACGATCGTTCCATATTGATTAATTAATTGTGACACCCCAAAAGTGCCAGTGTAAATAATAGTGTCATAACCGACATTATGTATATGGTTCCGTAAATCTACTTCAAGGGTATTCCAATTGCCGCCATTAAATCCTACAGAATCCACCATACGAAACTCAGCAGCATGAAGCTACTATTTTACGCTGGTATTCTGTGAGAGCGTGGTCCTTCCCCGGTCGAGCCGACCCATTCCTGCTACGACTATAATACTAATATAACTGCAACATGGCTTCACCACGTATATATATATATATCATCATCATTCATCATCATCATTACAGCCCTTCACAAGTCCACTGCTGAACATAGGCCTCCCCCAAGTAATGCCACAAAGCACGGTCCTGAGCCACCTGCATCCATCGACTTCCTGCATGTCTTACCAGGTCGTCACTCCATCTAGTGGGGGGTCGCCCTACACTACGCCTACCGGTACGAGGCTGCCACTCGAGAACCTTTCTTCCCCATCGGTTATCGGTTCTTCGAGCTATATGGCCGGCCCATTGCCACTTCAGCTTACTAATCCGTTGGGCTATGTCGGTCACTCTGGTTTTACTGCGGATATCCTCATTTCTGAGTCTATCACGCAGAGAAACTCCGAGCATAGCCCTCTCCATAGCTCGCTGAGCGACCTTAAGCGTCCTCATACGGCCAGCAGTGAAGGACCACGTCTCAGATCCGTAAGTCATCACTGGCAACACGCACTGGTTGTACAATCTAGTTTTTAGAGATTGAGGTATACCTGACGAAAAGATATGCCGTAATTTCCCGAACGCTGCCCAGCCGAGTTGAATCCGTCGATTGACCTCTCGGTCGAAGTTGGACTTACCTAGTCGGACTATTTGTCCCAGGTAAACGTATTCGTCAACAACTTCGAGCATAGTGCTCCCAACAACTACCGGCATAGGTGTGACATGGACATTGAACATGATCTTTGTTTTGTCCATGTTCATCTTAAGACCTATCCGTTGGGAGGCACTATTGAGGTCATTGAGCATAGTGCTTAAGTCCTCCAGCGATTCTGCCATAAGGACTATATCGTCGGCAAATCGAAGGTGAGTGATGGACTCGCCATTGATGTCAATACCGTATCCTTTCCAGTCCAGTAGCTTGAAAACGTCTTCCAATGCAGCGGTGAAGAGTTTCGGGGATATAACGTCACCCTGTCTTACACCTCTCTGCAGTTGGATAGGTTTCGAGCTCTGTACAAACTACTGTACAAACACTTCAGCACTTCGATATACCGACAGTCAACTTGGCACCGCTGAAGGGACTGTAGCACCGCCCAAATTTCGACGGAATCAAAGGCTTTTTCATAGTCCACATACGCCAGGCAAAGTGGCAGATTGTACTCTTCAGTCTTCTGTACAGTCTGCCGCAGGGTATGTATGTGGTCTATGGTACTGAAGCCTTTTCGGAAACCGGCTTGTTCGGGAGGCTGGAAGTCGTCAAGTCTGCGTGCGAGACGATTCGTAATGACTCTCGAAAACAGCACGTAGACGCGGCTCAGAAGGGAAATCGGTCTGTAGTTCTTTAAGAGAGCGTTGTCGCCTTTCTTAAAGAACAAGACCACCGCACTTCTGCTCCACGCCTCTGGAGTAGTGCCACCATGGAGGACGGAATTGAAGAGCTTCTGAAGGACTTCAAGTACCGGTGTTCCACCCGCTTTCAGAAGCTCCGCTGTAATTCCATCCTCGCCTGGGGCCCTGCCGTTTTGTGTATTTATTCATTGGGGGGGTATTTGCCATAGTTGCCACGCTTGGCGAGCGGGTTGGCAACCGCAGTTTTTTATTACGTCACAGTTGTCATCAGGAAGACGCTGCTGCCCATCTCCTGCCTGTCTCCCTCTGTCGCCTCTTACGACACCCACGGGAAGATATGGGGTAGTGGATATTCTTAACCGCCACTACACGGCATATATATATATATATATATATATATATATATATATATATATATATATATACATATATATACATATATATTATATATGTAGCGGAACAATTAATATAACGGATGTAACGAGTATGGACTTGTATCAAGTATTTGTAATTGCTTTGTCATCATTTCGGGTGAACGGCCTCCTTGTAGGTAATGTTGTTATCGTTAGAGAATAAATGTAGCACCGTGACCCCAGGGGCAGGATGGAGTGATGTATCACACAATAATTAACTATACTTAGTGATGAATATAAAAGAAATTTGTTTTCTTATTTCTTTAATAATAAAGGTAAACATAAAAACAAAGAACGTTTCATGTGAAACGTTCTGGTCAATTAGCGTTATTCGGGTTATCGACTAATAGCGGAAAATACATTCGAAAATGCCAATGAAATTACAAATTTTACACTGATGGTTATGTTTAGATGTGGTATAGCTACCTACTGCGTATTGTTGGGCCTTGTATTGTCGGCAGCACGAATAGGTCAACTCGGCGAAGGGAAGTAGACAATTCACAAGAAATACCAGCGGAAAACAACCTCTTGATGCCGCTACTTTTCGTATGCTTTGTGATGAGAATCAAAGACGCTGGTAACTAGGAATTCCATTTTAGTCCTCAGGATTACAATGTATTTGCATTTTGATTCTTCATCAAGGATAGATGTACGTGTCTGTTGACCACAGGATTCATAATATTACTTAATTTCTGTGCACGTGCAAAAAGTGGGAGGGGGAGAGGTATATTATGTAAAGTTACAATGAAAAAGACTCTAATGAGTTATTATCTAATGAAATTAAAGTTATTCTTCAATTATTTTATTGTCATTAATGTAATATCATGCAGTTATTTATTCTAAATAATAAATCAACTTAATTAATGAATCGATTTCTTCTAATCCCATTTAAAATTTTATGAAATGTAATTTTCTTAATAAAATGTTAGTGAATTATCACTTATTGCACATTACTAATAGGCTCATAAATGGACTTCTATTATGATTTATCAACTTGTTTCTAAACAAGGACATCATTTTGTTATTGCACATTTCATTTGTACATATAAAAAATGAAACCTTCGTTGGTAAGTAAAATTGGTAAAAGAAATTTCTTAAATTCAAATTAATTAATTTATTTTTGAATTCAGTGACTATAATAACATTATTATTATTATTAGTGTGAGTTAGGTATATCTTCCTATTAACGATTTACGTACGCATTTTTAATATTTAATAATAATAACATAATGATATTATGCATATTTACAAATAATTTTAATTCAGGAGATAGAGTATAGATTTTTTTAAATATTTTTGTTGTCTATGATGATGTGTTGGGTAATAGTTTTTAATTGTGAAGTGATTTTCTTTTGTTATAGTTTTTTTAAGAATTTCGCTTAATAATTCTTATTATCTACAAAAAGATTCGTTATTGCAGGTGTTGCTTATTGTATTTATAAGTATGATATTTATGATGGTGAATGCTGAAAGAGATTTCCGCACTAATACATTTAAAGTAAAAAGGGTCACTTTGCCAATGGATCACAAGACATTTATTTCAAATGCGAGACGAAAATCTGCGATAATTTCAAATATTGACAGAAATATTGTCACCAATATATCTAAAAGTTGGCGGATTCTGCCAAAACTTACGTTAACAAGTCGAATTAGAAAAGAAATTGGAAAAGTTAAAAGTAAAATAACTACATTCAATAAGCTGCAATATTCAAGAAATAAAACATTAAAAAGAAATAACCACCACCAAGAAAATGAAGTTAATATTAGTAATAAATATATGAATAATAATGATTTTCGTAAAAGTGAAGAAATCAGTATTGAAGAATCATTTCGGTATAAAACTCCTAAACTAGAAATAATAACACCTAAAAATGAGGAAACGCATGTGAAAAGACCACAATCCAAAACAACTTCTTTATCATATTCAAAAAACAGTCAATTAAAATATGCAGATACAATAAATAACATTTCTGTCTCCGATGAAAGTGACGATCTAAAACAATATATTTTTGTTTATATTCCACTTATCAATTTAGAACATGTTAATAAAAACAGTGATCATAATAGTGGAAGAAAAAATGTTGTAAATAATGTTCGAATAAGGAGGTGAGGGATAAACTTCTTCTTATTTACTTCATCCATTCGTTGTTGGCCGTTCTCTTTTTGAAGAATGATTAGGCTTAGATCAGCCATAACCGTAGGTAACTTGTATGGCTGATTGACATTGTCGTAGTACCACACTTTTCGCATCTTTGACGCCACGCTCCGTCATCGGTCTGGATATTCAACGTCATCCATTTTTTTTACGTGATAGAGCCACGCTGCAGCTTTATTATGGCTCGACCGAGGTAGGACCACGCTCTCATAGAATACCAGAATAAGTGTTTCGTATGGTGAGTGTAGAGAACCGGGACCCTTTTTACTGGAATCGAGGCTTTCCATCTTAGTCCTCAGGGGTGATAACGCATCTGAATTTCGATTCTTAATTGAGGATAAATGTGGATGCCTATGGGTCACAGCAACCACTTACCATCAGGTGGACTGTGTGCTCGTTTGTCAATCTTATTCTATAAAAAAATCCATCCATCCATTACAATGTGTAAGTTTATTGTTGAACATAGGCCTCCCACATAGAATGCCTCATCGTGGGGGGGGGGAGGGGATGGGAGGCAATTACTATAGTTTTTACGCTTAGCAAGCGGATTATCAAGAACATATTATTATTATTATTTATGTCATTATTCAGGTAAATACACCCATTTTGTTAGTACACTTAAAACTTAAAAACTAGGGGTTAGTAAATTCACAGAATCCATACATTATTAATACACAAGAATTATTATTTATCATTAAACATATTGCGTCTGGAACCCATACGCACTGTGTTCCAGTACCTCATCGCAGGGCAATCTTGCCTTCCATATATGGAAGCTAGGAGGCCGTTGGTGCTGTCTCGCACGCGAAGCATCAAGGAGGCTATTCTTTTGCGTAATATTACTGCAAAACTGTCCACGCGTGTCCTCAGAAAATAGCCCTGCCCGTCTCCTGTGTTACTCACAACACCCACAAGCCGCAACACCCATATAGTAGATATTCGTATAGCGCCACTACACGATTATTTTACATCCTACAGCCTCTCTATCATACTCTCTCACTATATTCATATATCTATTAATCTATAGCTATTTTCAGGCATATCCCATAGTTGCTTCTCACGACACCCGCGGTACGACATGGGAACATCTCTTACGCCGTGACCACACGGCATAGGGGCAAGAACAAGCTATTAACGACTAAAGGATAATCTGTGAGGTAAAGGCCCCTTACACACTTAATCATTACACTAAAATAGCTTAGTAGCGCAGTGGTTAAGTGTGTAAGGGACTAGTGGGCCGCGGGTTCAATATTCCTATGTAATAAGTATATGTACGGACTTCAAAAATATTTGTTCCCAAAAAAGAAATTCTCATAGTCAGTGTGTATGTGTAAAAGAAAAAGTATACAGGGGTTTTGTAATACACCAACTTTTATCAAGAGTGTGGTAATTTATAAAAAGGGAAATCAAATTGTTTTTACAATAGTTTTTATGTGAATAAGTAACTTATAACATTTTCTTTCTCTCGCGGCTTTCTTTACTGCGCGGCTAAAACTTATACTGTAACTACTGACAAAGTCACTCGTAGTATTTTTATTCAAAAATAACCATTATAAAAAACTTTTGAAAGACAAGAAAGTTCAACATTTTAACAAGTCCTTACTGTAGAAAACCTTCCGGAAAGAAATAATTCACAAGCAGTAAATTATTAATATTAATTTATTTATATTATTTATTATTCTCCCAACAATTATAATTTAAACTTATAAAATTTGACGTATTTTATTATACATTCATTGTATGATAAAATAAATAAAATAATTTTAAAAATAAGTACCTATTGAAATTAAAAAAAAAATCAATATCACCCGCGGAAGTCATAACTTTAACACTTTGATTTTATAACTTATTATAACATTTCTTTTATCGCACCGATAACGCCTAGTGTTATACTTTTAAAAATTCCATAAATATTTTTAGTTATTGCTCAGGAACTAAATTCTTTTTCAACAAATATAATTTTATTTGATAGCAAAAATAAATATTAATAATCGGAGGTATTACTTAAATTTTTTTGCTAGGGAATTAAAAATTGTTTGTGTGTTACGTGTGTAGATGCAGATTTCTTTTTAAAATAATCGGGCAAAATGTCTCATTTAACAAATGTATATTGTATGCTTTTATTCATGTTAATACTTTATAGTATTCAAATTATTTATAGGTATATTTTTATTACGATATTTCAGTGGAGAAATGGGATTTTTGACATAAATAGGTACAGAATATTAACTGCGGACCCTTTTTATGCACACTCACATAACAATTGTACCCTTCTGTTGTAGAAAAAAAATAAGCCCGTATAAAATTCCAAAATCACAGACCATACTTTGAAAGTTAAAAATATTTTTAAAGTGTAATAAGAAATTTGGATCGCTATTTAAACTCGTTGTCAAACATTTAAGTCTACAGATAGACGTAAGGTTTTCTAAGATAGTGGATACATTTCTAAAATTACTGTGGATTAATTAGTGCATACCAGAAGATCTCGTACTGGTAATCCAGTACTTTGGGTTGGACTTTCCACCTTCAGTCATCTCAAATCGTCATTCGTCAATCAGAAGGGTGCACATGCTCCCCACACATCCCTTTAAAATGGTTTAAAGGGATGCTTATGGATAAAGACACTACAAGATTAAATTTTTATTTTAACGATGTATCAACTTTACAGAGGTGTAATCGAAGAAGAAATCTCTGCAACAACTTCTTCAGGGTTTAAGTATACTGCTGCGGAGTCGAGTTTGGTTGATCGTTTAACTTTTAAAAACATAAAAGTATGAAACCAGAAAGCAACAAATGGTCTGAAAATGTTTGTATTGTACTAAGAAGCCATAGATGGCCATGGATTTTTTTCGAAATCTAGTCTTTAAAATTAATGTTGAAACATTTTTCTGAAAAATTACAAGTTTATATTAATTGTGTCGATTAAAGTAGGAAAATATATTAAATGTATTTTCTGTTCTTTCTGTTTTGTTGACTGATGAGTGATAAATATATTAAATAGTTCAATTCATTATATAAGGAATAAATAATAAAACAATTAAAATAAAGTTATTTATTATGTTCTCTACAAAAAACTTACATTTACACGCAACTATAATGTACACCTTAACCTAGGTAGAAGTAATGGCAAAAAATTCTCTACGTTCGTTACACAAAAGCTATCTATCTTCAACTATCACACTAGTGAGATTGAGACATATAAATTAATAGTATTCTAAAGGAAAGGAATAGAGAGAACATGATCACGAATGGAATAAAGTTCGGTGCGTCAATACACTTAAAATGGTGGACGATGTTACAAACTCCTAGAATATAATTTAACTTTATAAACATTTCTAGCTTTAATAACTTGAAATTTATTTAACTTCTGTTAATCTCATGTAACTTATTTTGATTTAAGACCTTGACTTGCACCAAAAAGGACATATAATCAATACTGATTTTAAATGTACCTATTTGTGAAAGCTTCTGAAGAAGCTTATTACACATTAACGGCTAAATGGATTTGGATGAAATCAGGCTGCTGGCACACCGATAGAGAGAACATATTCTGAGCTAACATTTAGGATTTTTTTCGTCGTATTTTTACTTGGGGGTGAAAAATTTCCCGCGAAAAATTAAAAAAAAAACGATGAAGACCAATCTGTTTCCACGCGGGCGAATTAGCACGTAATAGCCAATTTTCATTTGTATATAAAGTACTCTTTGAAGCTTTCTTATATTCTTAAAAGGTTTCTTTGAGTTGCTAATAGAAAAACAAATCGACAGGAATAATATAATTTGTCTAAATGGAGAAGGTGAAAATTATTAGAAAAATTGTGGTTAAAATCGTTTATTTGTAATTGTGTTTTCTTTGTGATATTTTAGAAGTATTTTCAAAAATATTCCGAAAGTACAAAATATCCGATCGTCCACCAATGCTGAATATTGGTTACAGCAAAGTTAAGGTAGAAATTTTAGTGTTAAATATATTTGATTGTACTTATAGATCTTAACGATTTTGACTTGAATTTCGTGTTATTTTCTGTGGGCGCCTAGTTGCTATTTTCTAGTCAGTCTAAAGATATCGTTAAAAGGTGCGTAAGTTGTCCTGGTTGGAATGGCGTTGTAGGCGAAAGATGGCTGCGCGTCGGCACGGAGTATTACCACACCTGCAAAGAAAAAAAAAACAGATTGTTTGTTTTCTAAATATAATAATAATATGCGACATATAAAAGCATAACTTTAACGCATCACCGATAGATGGCGGTATAATCATCAAAAATATTCCAGAACGAAATAAACCAAGACCAGTGATGAGATTCGGCATAAATAAAGCAACTTAAGGTACTAACTGTGTAGAGGCGGTTTGAGAATATTCACTACCAGAGGGAAGCAAATCAGAAGATGCACAGCAGCGTTCTTCTGTTACCAGCCCAAAATAATAAAGAAACTACGGTTGCCGACCCGTCTGTCAAACTATGTCTAAAATCCCTCCTCCCACCTCCCCGAAATCTATGGAAGAGTGGAGTAGTTCAGGAGTGGACTTTTGATGGGCTGTAGTGGTGATGAATAGATACTCCAATTACTTACATCAATTTTAAAACGGATGTTCGTATATTACAAGTCAACAACTTAGACGATTAAGTATGTATAAACAAATTTTATTAAACGTTTACATTTCTCGTATTATCTAAGTTGGAAAAGGTATGTAATTTGGCAGTGGATAAATCCAAGTACTTAATTAACGGTCTAATAGTAATTGTATTATTAAGATAATTATTATAATAAATATTATTAAGATAATAATGCAATTACTATTAGACTAAAACTACTAAGAACTACGAAGATATAAACGGTTAGTGTATACCGATTTAAGCCACCGCAATTTTCGGTATACAGAATTTTCGTCAATTTCAATCAAAACAGATGACTGTTTTAATTCTGTAACTTTTTTAAAAATTGGAAGACAGTTAATTATAATTATAAGCGCTAATTCACTACGTGCGTATGGTTTTTTTTTAATTTATTATTTTAAAAGATTTTTAACATGAAAAATACCACACTAAAGAGTACATAGCTTAAAATGTATGTTAAGTTACTTTATTATTTTAGCGTTTTAAGAAGTTGGAACATTCAGAACACTATTATAAAATTCAACATCTCATCGTTTGCTTTTAATTTTTGGCATAAATTCTGATTTCTTGGCATTACTCCAGTCACATTTCACTATTACGTAATAATATCTTTAATGATATCACATTTTTTACAACGAGGTGAAGGTGTTTTTTTCATTAGAAATTATTCAATGTGTCCAGATTGAAGCCTAAGAGCCGTTTTCACAATATCTTTAAGCCATCAAACTACGGAAAACGGCAAAAAAACAGGTTGCATTGCCTTGTACTATCGTGAAATATTAAGGAGCCAGTACGTCTTAAAAATAAATTTATTGGGGTAGACATATGAAGTCCAAGAAATACCTATATACATATTACAATACCTAGGTATATATAAGGCAAGAGAAAAACATTCTTTTCAAAACGTTTTTTTTTCAAAGTTTAAAAATATATTAAATTATAATATATATGTGCCATTTTGTTCGATAACTTGTTGCCATCTTCTAGGCAGTGACATAATCCCGATGATATAGAAAACTTGGGATTTTTGATCAAAAAGTCGGACAAGTAGTCTGACAGTCCTCTCTTGATGTTAATCTAACACTACCGAAAGAATGTTGAAAATCTGAGGGTGCAAGGTCAGGACTATATGGTTAATGCATTATCACTTCCCAACCAAGCCCTCTCAAAATTTGCTGCTTGGCCAAAAATGACCACACAGCCGTATGATGATGAAAGACCACAATTTCTTGCTTGAGTCTCATTAGTTGTTCGCAGTAGAGATCTGAAATGATGGTTTTCCCCGGCATTAAAAGCTTATAATAAACGATGCCATTCCAATCCCACCATACCCACAGTATCACCTTATTGCGTGTTAACCCGGGTTTTGCGACAGTCTATGGAGCTTCACTAGCCTTTGACCATGACCTTTTTCGCACATTCTTGTCGTAGGTGATCCACTTTTCATCACCAGTGACCAATATTTTCAAAAATGGTTCGGTTTCGTTACGTTTCAATAGACAATCGCAAATGACATACAAGATTCCTTAGGTTTCTTTCCATGAGCTCGTGTTGTACCCAAATATCGAGCTTTTTTGTATAGCTAGACTTTTACAAATGGGTAAAAGCTGTTTTGTAGCAAATCCTCAATTCATCGGCTATGTCCTAACTACTAATATGATGAACTTGCTCGTCTTTTTCAAAAATGGCATCGACTTTATCCGTATGAGGGCGACGAGGTCGAGCTGCATCTTTGTCATCAAAATTCCCGGACTAAAAACGCCTGAACCAACTTTGTTCTTTTTTTTTTTTTTTTTTTTTTTTTTTTTTTTTTTTTTGTTGTTTTTTACTTTTTTAACAGCCACATAAACACAAAGATTTTCTTCAATGTTGTTCAAACAAAATACGAAGAAACATTTTTCCTGACTTATTATTTACAACTGTACAAGTAATTCTTTAATGTATTATATACCTATACTTAGAACTGATTCAAATTTTAAAGAGTATTGTTAAAAATATATATATATGATCGTCTCATATATTTTGCTCGATTTCTAAAATCGCAGAGGGAAAGAGAGCAACATTTTTAATAATACGATACTATTTATCAAAAGATTCATAATTATAATTATGTCTAAATTATAAGATTTAAACAGTATATATATATATTTAAGAATTTTTCAAACGTGCGTGGCACTGTGGGCGACGGGTCCGAAACCAGCACATAACAAATTGTTAGTCTGGTCTATTAAAAATAATTTTATAAATTGCATTAAAATTATATTAAAGTATTTAACTGTTTTGATTATCATATTGACTCAACGACACAGGGCCAATAGTTTCTATATATATATATATATTATATATATATATATATATATATATATATATATATATATATATATAAATAATATATGGTGTATAAATATAATATATAAATATAAATGGTGTAAAAAGCATTTTTATTACAAAGGCAAGTGTCATTAGCAGGAATTATAACACTATAACATTATAAAGTAGGTATCCATGTTATTGCAATATTTAATGAAATTATCCATGATCAACGAACTCTAATAGTGTTTAGAGTTCGTTATACATAGACCGTAACCGAAGAGTGATAAACAATCAAGACACTTGCTACCTGAGGGGTTCACTTTCACTTTGATCTTGGTTTGCGGCGACAGCACGCCGTAGTCCACGTCCTCGTACAGATCCTGAAACCATAACACATTATTGACAGGTTTTTGTTATTTTTAACTACACCTAAGTGATGGCTTTTCCACTAATTTCCGCAAAATGGAAAATGTGTACGTCAAACGCTATTTTAATTTACTAAAATATTGTATCATAATTACATTTCTAATTACAGATGAGATGGTAAACTCTAAAATTTTTATTTTTTTATTTATGGTAATCAATAAGTAAAAAGGAATAAAACCATAGACTCATCAACTATAGTTTATTAATGCATTTCCACAGATTAATATACTCGTACTTAGTGGATTCTATAACGTGGTTGTCACAAAACGGAGTAGACTTTATCGTTGGATAAACATGAAACATCACCAACTTCCAGACTTTGGGCTGCTAATGAGACAGACAAACTATAATAGTAAAAGTAAGACGAGACAAGTAGACGGCATCACCAACATCATCCTTATCCATATAAGTGGTGATGCAGTCGAAGATGGTAAAGCGCACCGACTTAACAAAAGCCTATTCACAAATAAACAGGGTTATTTTGCAATATACACCCAAAGCAGAGTATGTTCAGAATAAGTAATATAGGCAAAAGATGAAAAAGTATTAATTAAAAAAATCTCAATCATTTGACCTTTTTTATAAGAGAGTGGGCAAATGAGCATACGGTTCACCTGATGTTAAGTGACTACCGCCGCCCATAAACAACTGCAACACCAGGGTAATTGCAGGTGCCTTGCCAGCCTTTTAGAAGGTAACTTCGAGACTTTGTTCAGCAAAAACTTGACTTAAGACGCAAGTTTGTCCCGGTAGTACGAGACGTTTTCCCGAGAAATATTGGCACAGCCGGTGTACAGCTCAGCAATGAATGTTACCGGTTTGCAACATATCATAGAAATATGCAAAAGAAACAGCGTTGGTGATAGCACGCAGCCACGTGGAATACCAGCATTAATAGGCTTGTAATCGAAGCGTACACCGTCTACAATGACCTTGATGCTCCGATCTGTAAGAAAGCTGGTGATCCAATTGCACAATTTCTCGGGAAGCCCATAGGAAGGGAGCCTCGAAAGAAGCGCTTTATGCCAAACCCGATCGAAGGCCTTCGCAATGTCAAAACTAACGACCAATGCCTCCACCTTGGACTATACTGCCTTTGCCCATCGATGAGTCAGGTAGACCAGAAGATCATCAGCTGATCGACCCCGTCGAAAACATCACGGTCACTAATCAGCTGGTGATCCTCAAGGTAGTGCATGAGCTGGCAGCTTATAATGGATTCCATTACTTTGGAGAACAAGGAGGTGATGCCGATAGGCCCATAGTTTGACGGATCTGAGCGGTCGCCTTTGTTAGGGATTGGGTGGACGAAAGCCAGTTTTCCAAGATTTTGGGATCATGCCTAGGGAGTAGGAGTACCGGAAAAGACGCGTTAGAACCGATGCCAACTCCGGAGCACACATCCTCAGCACAATTGGGGGGATCCCGTCAGGCCCACTCGACTCCAAGGAGAAGAGTGCTTTGTGAACCCAGCGCTGTGTGAACAGAGCAGAGCAGAGATGTAAGAGATGGCTGAGAGAAATTCCCTTGGACAGCCTTGGTAAGAAACAGAATGCACGGGTTCCAGAAGGAAGGCGAACTAGTTTCTGGCCAATTCTGCTTATGTGCTCTGACTGCCTTGGCAATGACTCCTTTGAAGGACCTGGAGGCGGAATTATACTTCTTTTTTAGGGCGCTGGTGTTTACATCCCGGGATGTTTATGCGTCAGCCCAGGCCCGGTAACACTCCTGCTTATAGCATGATGTTATTTTACAAGAGCGATTAAACCATGTCTGAGATTTGCCTCCGATGGGCCCCATAGAGGAAGGAACAAAAAGTTCCATACCCTGAAGCACCAAATAAGCGACAGAATCAGCAACAACGTTGGGATCACGACACGACACAACACGACATACATTTTACACGCTCCTCTCCCATAACTGCTCACACACATTACACTCATAACACAATTACTTCTTACAGTCATACATTACACATCCTATGAGAGAGGAACGGCATTAGTAGTATAAATTATTATTTTGTTTGTACCTTGGTATTAGTAATAAGTGGTAACATAGTATATAAACATAATATGTGATACAATTAATTTCATTGTACTTAGGTTATATTAGCGGAATGTACAAATTTTTAGATAGTATTTGATTATTTAACTTTTGCTTGCATCCTAATATTTCTATAAATTAACGGTGGGGATATGGCGCTGACAGCTGATGCACAGGTCTCCTAGTTCGGCTGCAGATGCTATGTTTTCAAGTATATGTACTAATGTAGCTTAATTAAATAATGTTATGCAAATATTGTGATGTACAACCTCTTGGAAATAAAGAACTTATTATTATTATTATCGTCCGGCGAGAAGCAAACTCGCCCCCAAGATCTATAGTGCCAAACACGGCGGCAGCCTGTAGAATGCAACCACGATTTCAGCGTGAGTGGCACCACACTCTGGACAAGAAAATGATTCGAGGAGCCAAGAGGAGCATTGACGGAGACTTGATATCTGTCTGGATTCTTCCCTGTTGGACCTTCTGGTGGAGGTCAGCAGAAGGTCCAACAAGGAAGGTGAATTATTCTCTACATCTGGAATCTACGTAGGCAAAGTAATCAGTTGTGTCAGACCATATGCCAAGGCAAATTCATGAACAGATCTCCCCGCATGATCGGTTAAATGTGAACCAAGCCATTCGGCGTGGTGGGTGTTAAAATCACCGAGGATCACGATCTCTGCGGAGGGGATCTGCTGTAGCAACGAATCTGTAGCCGTTTGGACGTGGTCGAAGAATCGGTCTGTTTCGGCATTACCGCTATGGGACCTATAGAGGCACCCGTAGACGCGCGAATGGTCGTCACTGTCTACGCGTAGCCAAAGGATGGACAGGTCCGTACTTTCAAGACTGCCGAGGCGTCGAGAACAGATGTCCTCTCTGACGAACGCAAACTCCAGCCCGAGGCACAAAGGAGTGTTCCAGTTTGTACCCCGGGTAGGAGAGATACGAGACATCAGCCAGAGAGGACACCTACGTCTCGGTCAAAAAGAGCAGAGCCGGCCTCGCCGTCTCGAGATGGTAGTGGACGGCGTTTAGGTTAGAGTGAAGTCCCCTGATATTGCAGAAATTCACGGATAGCGTGGCAGGGTTCGCCTTGGTCTTGTTGCTCAGCTTGCCCCGAGCAGTTATTGTCTTGAGCGGAATTTTGCCCCAGAATACGCGGAGCAGCCTGAGAACCCACGCTCCGGAGTGGAGTAGCTTGGTCATTCCACCTCCATGTTGATGGGAGGGGGGGGGATTGGGCCTCCAGCCTCCTTTACTCGCCAGAGGAAACGCGGAAGCAGTGCTTCCACTTCACGCCGGTATTATGTGAGGCCGTGGTACCAACCCGGCTCGGGCCAGCCCATACGTGCAACAGCAAAGGCTGTCGCGTAGCTCTACCACTGTTAACCTTTCTTTGCATCCAACCTGTATGGTAGTTGTTTTGGCCCTGTATATTTACACCCAGTATACACGGTGTGCAATGTGGTTGTGTTGTATACTGACCTCGAGCCTGTACCCGGCGGGGTTATTGAGTCCGAGCTCGCGCAGCGTGACGGCGACATCGGACGGCGTGCCGTCTGTGCGCCGGTTGAGGAACGCTATCGCGTACGAGTAGTACTGCCCTTGGATTGGCACGATCGGACGCGACCAGATCTCGATACCGCGGTGCTGTAATGAAAGGTTTCTTTTAACTTAGAGGAATGAACAAAACACACAAGAAACATGTTCGCAACTACGTAACTAGAATTAATTTAATGTAGATAATGTCGTTTTTTGCCGTGTTATGATGGCGTGAGAAAATCCACTACTCTATGTCACGCCGTGGGTGTTGTAAGAGACGACTGAAGGAAATTAAAAAATAAAACTGCGGTTGCCAACTCTGGCAAGCCACCCTGGCAACTACGGTAAATATGAGGCAATCCGTGGAAGTCTATGTTCTGCAATGGACTTTCATATGAATAAATTTATCGTATTCTTAACCATGGAGCATGTATGCGTAGATTTATGGATGAACAAGAGAGAGTTGTGTCAGGATCGTGCCAAATGGATTTCGTAATCTCCCCCTATCTTTCTGGGTGATGGTTCTAGTTTACTTAAACGACGCAAAGAATACACAAGTCAGGATTATAAAAGAAGACATAATACCAACCATCTGATAGCAAGTGTATGTTGTGGCCCAAAGACATCACCATCCATCTTAATAAAGAATTAAAATCCAGATTCGTTGTCATTTTGAGGACTAAGGTGGAATAAATATTGAGTTTATGTCCTGTTTCCGTTTCCCTTTGTCGCCTCTTACGACACGTGGTGGAGCCATGATGCAGTTATATTAGAAGTATAGTTGTAGCACGAATGGGTCGGCTCGGCCTGGTAAGGATCACGCTCGCTCTCACAGAATACCAGCGTGAAATAGTAGCTAAATTCTGGTGTGTTTCGTATGGTGATTGTAGAGAACCGGAGATCCTTTTTACTGGAAACGAGGCATTCCATCTTAGTTCTTACGGGTGACAACCAGCGGAGAATACCAACGTAAAATAGTAGCTTAATGCTGCTGTGTTCATATGGCGAGTCTAGAGAACCGGAGACTCTTTTTACTGGAAACGAGATATTCCATCTTAGTTCTCACGGGTGACAACGCATATGCATATTGATTCGTTATCGAGGATAGATGTAGATTTTTATACGCCGCAGCAACCACTTACCAGGTGGAATGTGTGCTCGTTTGTCACCCTATCCTATAAAAAAACCTACGGGATGATGATATTAGTGTGTAGTGAATTCTTTTACGCTGCCACTACACGGCACTAATGACAGTACAACTGACATATATATATGCCACAAAGCACGGTCCTGAGCCACTTGCATCCATCGACTTCCTGCATGTCTTACCAGGTCGTCACTCGATCTAGTGGGGGGTCGCCCTACACTTCGTCTACCGGTACGAGGCTGCCACTCGAGAACCTTTTTTCCCCAACGGTTGTCGGTTCTTCAATCTCTATCTATATATCAAAATATTACTCACTTTGTATATCCTCCTGCCCTGGATACCTAACGGGTCCTGGTCAACTTCGATAATCTTCCTGTTCTGCAGGATCGCTTTGTACTCGGGCCGAATTGTCCGAAGATCGACGCTCATGAGCAACGGCGCCGCCAGAATAGCCCATATCGCAAATTGGGTTTTGCTTTGCTCGTACGATAGACCGAAGTTTCCAATGATCAGCTAAGAAAATAAATAATTGTTAATAATTAGTTCAGTGGACGGTGGTTGAAGTCTTAGATGATATAAAGCCTTATCACTCTAGCCTCGAAAACACTCACATCGTAATTGGTAGAGACAGACGTCGACAAGTTATTTTAATCCTTTAATGTACGAATTATGTATTACGAAAGAAGTAAACCGTCTAATTCAAATGCAGGGAATATCGACAACAAATGAGTAAAGGTTCTCCGACCGTCTGGTTATTTGCAGTTTAAAGTAATGGTGGCATTAGTGAATTCATCACCGATTTTCGTCCCGTGGGTGTCATAAGAGGTCCGTTATAGACTTTGAAGCCCACCAACCGATTTTGATGAAAATTTTTGTGTGTGTTAGTATGGGTTCCTAGATGGTTTAAATCGACATTTGGGCCCGGTAAGTGGCTTTGTGTCGGAATTAAGACATCAGCCGCGGGGTGGCTAGTTGAGAAATAATGCATACCTAATATTACGAGTAAAAACTTACATGCATAACTTTTAGATGTTTTTTATGTTGTTCTTTAAATCTATTCCGCTCGATAACTAGAAATCATACTATAGTATATATAAATCATACTATAGGTAGTATAATCATACTAAAGTATTAAATACGCCGATATGAACTCTTGAAGTACCAATTAGATATGAAATCTTAATGTCGACGCTATAATACTACGTGTTATAGCTATTTACTATAATTACATTGATATTATACAATACAATAGAGACGGAATTAACAATAGTAATTAATGAAGAATGTAATAATGGCGGAACCAATAATTTTGCTTAGTATCAGTTTTTGAACTAATTTGGGGTACCAATTTATATAATTAGATATGAATTGTGCCAATTAGTTTCTAAATACCGGTAATTTTTAACGCCACCTCAATGTTCATTTTTATACATCGAGTATAAATACGAGATGGATATAGTGCTATCTATCGGAAGCCACAAAATATTTAATTGTTTTGTTTTATAATTGTGTATGTTTATGGGATATTTTTTTATAGAAGGTGGGGGGGCAAACGAGCATACGGTTCACCTGATGTTAAGTGACTACCGCAGCCCATGAACACCCGCAACACCAGGGGAATTGCAGGTGCGTTGCCGGCTCTTTAGAAAGGAGTAAGCTCTTTTCTTGTGTTATGTTTCCTCTTAATGCCACAGCAATATCATCATATAGATACATGAACATATTTAAAGCACTTTGAGAAAGTAGTTTGTTCAGAATCGTTTACTGAATCGATTCCTATAATTTTTAATATAGGTAATTTTTTATCCCAAAAATAATTAAAACTACGTAAATTACAGTCACACTAAATCTGTACAGTCAAAACATACTGGAAACAAAACAGACTGGAACTGAAATGGACCGTAACTTAAGGCAATAAGACTTTTAAGAGTGCAGTTTTATTTGTATTATTACTAATTCTGTCATTCAATAAAAATAAAGTAAAATGAACTTTATTTCAAGCACGTTACAGTCTTTGCGTTCGTAGATTTGTACTGTGACCACAACATTCTTCCGGAATTAGTATAACTAATTTGATAAATAATCAGTGCATAAAAATGTTTAACAAAAATTCAGTGTATATATTATGATTATAACATAATATGCTAATTGGGGTGTCTGAGGGTGTGCGTTAATTACGTTACATATTGTAGATACATAATATTTAAAACACTAATCGGTATGATCTAAATACTCATATGATATGTATTTACCATATCAGGGTCATTCCAATGTCCGGGACCCGCGTTGGGCACAATGGCGTCTTGGTGGTTTCCGTAGTAGTCAATGATAGATTCGACGGAGGCCCACGAGTCTTGTATGTCGTCGAAGTTCCGCCACAAGTTGCAGTGCTCAATGATCGATGAGAAGTTCGGCTGTGGGAAGAGAATAGTGAAATTCAATTTCAAAATCATATTAAGTACTTACGTAGTAGTAGACAATAAATTAACTTAAATTACCTTATAATAAACTTTTATTCGAATTTTAATTAAGCGTTGCATAAAGGAATGATGATTTTATGCTATGAGGATGTGGCCGTGGAAGGAATTTCGGCTTCGGTGTTTCACTTGTGGCGCGACGATAGCGCCGCCATAAGGAAATATGTAAATAGGGCGTAAAAAGTTAACAAAGTAGAAACCTATGACAATGATATTTTTCACTGTTCACTATACCTGTAAATCGAACAATTAATTTCAGAGAACACAGTAATAAAGAATTAGTAAAAATAAAAAAAGTAGTAAAAATTTATAGTTAGGCTTCGCTTCGCTTAGCGGATCGATGAAAACTACAAAATGTACAAAATCGCCGGTTTAAAGTCAATGCATCACTAACTAGTAGATATAAAACAAAGACGTTTACCTGCGTATGTAGGTAAATCAATGCTATCAAATCTTTAAAACTGTTTGATGGATCTTTTTTTATAGGATAGGGTGACAAACGAGCACACAGTCCACCTGATGGTAAGTGGTTGCTGTGGCCCATAGACATCTACATCTATCCTCGATTACGAATCAAAATGCAGATGCGTTGTCACCCGTGAGATGGAATGCCTCGTTTCCAGTAAAAAGGGCCTCCGGATCTCTACACTCACCATACGAAACACAGCAGCATTAAGCTACTATTTTACACTGGTATTCTATGAGCGCGTGGTCCTTCCACGGTCGAGCCGACCCATTCGTGCTACAACTATACTACTAATATAACTGCAGCATGGCTCTAACACGTCTAAAAATAAGACTTAAGATATTTAAAAAATAAGATATAAAATCCATAACTATGGATCCATTGTTGAATGAAGCGTGCTAGCTATTCTAATAAACAAAAAAAAAACATTAAAATATTGACCTTATTAGTGCGTGGCATGCCCAAGCGGAACCGCCTATGAACGCAGCACCTGTTCACAAGTATAATGTAAAGCCTTCTTCAACCGTATTAAATGAGACGACGACGATTTGATATTAAACGAAACGATAGAAGTTAGAGAGCTGACAAATCATGATTACTGTTCAAATTTAATTTAAGAGAATATAATAACGCTAATTCTAGTTTCGCCCCACTTCCTCGCGTCGTATGCGAGTATGTAGACATCATTACGTGTAGGTATATACTCTTATACGGTTGGTCGTTAGATACTTTTTTTAGGTTTTATTTATGTTTTGAAGTCGTTTCTTATTTTTATTACGGTTGTTTCCCATTTTAATTTTACGTCGTCCTGTTGCCTAATGTGCATTTTGATCGTGATCGCTTCCAGAAAAACAAGCTTCAAGACGCCGATAGTTTAGGTAATTTCTTTTTACAGTGAAAATAATGGTAATTAAAAAAAAATAAAAAATATAAGCCCTGCTTTATAGTTAGTTCAGTTAGTATGCAAAGTTCCATGATCTAATTTAAAGTATATTATGAATAACAGCGGTTTATTGTTCAGTTTGGAGGTAATTTAGAATTTTTTTTCTATCGAGAAAATATTACGGAATCGTGTTTTCGTCTAACATGTACTCAACATTAATCTTCAACTTTACAATATATTTATTTCAAAATTAATGCTGCATTATTTTCGGCATAACGGAGGATCTTGCTAAGCCATTTGAGGTAGTATTTTTAATATTTCCCCATAAGACAGTATATATCAATGTTAATGCACAGAATAAGTTTAAAATAGTTACATATATAACATACATAGGTACATACGTTACGCCTGCAATAGTAGTCCAAGGAGCATATGGGCTTAGATCGAATATTTAATAGAAGCGACAGATGGCTGCTCCATTACCTACAGGCCTTCACAATTATAAATCCAATATCACATTAGTCACCTTTTACGTTAAGCTAGGCAAGTTATCACATTGTTTTTTGTTAATATATTTCAGATAAACATATTATATTTACAGGTTCCAAACCAACATGGTTTAAAATAATTCTACGACATATACGATCTCTAATACAGTCACCGTCTTATAATATTACTATATGCATAAAATCTCACCTGAATTCCGGCGTATATCTGATAGACGGGCCAGCTGCAAGAGTAGACCATCTGTCGGCCGGTGAGGTTGAGCTGGCGTCCAAACTCAGGGTATCCGTGGTCCATGTCCACCGGTAAGGCGTAGCAGCCGTCCAATTTTACATAATCCACGCCCCATGACGCGAATGTCGTCGCATCTGATGTAACAAAAAAACCAGAGTTGAACCATATACCATAACCATGTCACCACGTTTCGTTACCTAATAAACTATGGAAACAGTCGATTGCTACATTCTAAATTACCAGATTTTACCATAAACGCATCGTTTGGTAGGCTATTTGGTAAATGTACACTAAACACATCGTAATATAAAGAAATACTCTCCTCTTTTAGCTTGAAAATTTTAAGTAATATTTTTTACAGATGAAGATGGCTGTTTTGTACCAATTTATGAAAGATCAATAAACCAATCGAAGTCCTTAATTGATAACCGTATAATTACATTTAAAGTCGTTCAGCAAGCTGCGAAGAAGCTAAGATGTCTCAATAGCTCGGAGCTTCTCTGTGATAATCGGGTTATCCGCAGAAGATCTCTAACCAACATAACAAAAAAGACAAGTAAACGGAAGTGAAAGCCGATCATAATATAGTACATAGAATGTGGAACAAATGGGGGAGAAAGTTTTAAAAGAACAGTTGTCAAGATTGATTGTAATCAAATCAATGTCACCAATAAAATAAGTTTTATCACCTAGTCCTAAGATCCTAGAGTAGGGTATTCAATGCACGTACAGCTTTGTATATAACTTTAAAAGCTGCACCGGTGACTGCGTGAAGTACCCACCTTGTTTGACACCTTGGTAAGCTAATTTCAAGCTAGATTTAAACTTCGTGCCGGCAAGCGTAATGAAGCGCTAACCACTATTACTCATAGATGAAATCACGATAAGTGAATCTACAGTGTCTAGAACAGGTAAATGAAATTGTATACTTGGGGAGTGCTTTCAGCCGGGATGGAAGATGTGATTTAGATGTGGACAGGCGTGTCGCTGCCGGGAACAAAGTCAATGGTGCCCTGAATGCGTTAGTCAAAAGGCAAGGCGTAGTGAAGAGTGCACGCCTTGCAATACATAACGCAGTGTTGGTGCCGACTTTGTTATATGGCAGCGAAACCTGGGTATGCCAGAAGAAGCATAAAAGCAAGTTGAATGCAGTGGAGATGCGATCTCTTCGTAAAATGTGCGGCGTTACCATAGCCGACCGAAAGCGAAACGAAGAGATTCGCAATATGGTAGGATTGAAAGATGACCTTATCACAAATACTGATAGGGGCGTACTCCGATGGTTTGGGCACGTTGAGCGAATGAGTGAAGACCGAACGGTGAAGAAAATATATAGCGCGAAAGTAAAAAAAAATAATGTTAAACTTTATTTAAATTAAAAAAAGTAAAGCTGACTTCAAAGAACTAAAACGAATATAATCATAGAAAAAAAGTAGAAATGAAAAAGAATTGTAGGTACACCCAAACGGCGTTTAGATGCCTTTGCAAATTGATTTTTTGACGGATACTGTCATCAGATTTTGACCTAATTTTGTAGGAAAACCCATAACCCTTTTTAACAAAACAGTAACCATTCCCACTTTCTAACAAAAAAAAAATCGATCAGCAATTCTGACAATATGCTAAAGTAATATTGCTAATAATAAATCGTGTTACTAAACGTGTTAATAAATTGAATAAAATTCATGAATTTAAACGTGCTTAATTCAACTTATAGATTAAATATCTGCGTTAGTGCTAAATTTACCGTGGTGACTTATAGATTTAAGACGTCATCCTTTATTGCTGGCCGTAAGAGGTGTCGCTCAGCGAGCTGTGGAGATGGGCTATGCTCGGGGTATCCCTGCGTGATAAACTCAGAAACGAGGATATCCGCAGCAGAACCAGAGCAACGTACATAGCCCAATGGATTAGTAAGCTGTAGTGGCAATGGGCCGGCCATATAGCTCGAAGAATCGATAACTGATAGGGAAGAAAAGTTCTCGAGTGGCAGCCTCGTAACGGTAGGCGAAGTGTAGGGTGGCCCCCACTGAATGGAGTCACGACCTGGTCAAAGAAAGAAGCAGGAGGTCGATGGATGCAGGTGGCTCACCGTGCTTTGGCATTCCTTGAGGGAGGCCTATGTTCAGCAGTGGAATTGTGAAGGGTTGTAATGATGAAGACGATGATGAAATTCAACGTTATTTTTAATTATAAATATAACAGCTATTTTCATTTGTGTATGTAATTTTATTGTGTTCTATGTGCTAATGAGTTAAAATGTAATTTTCATTAATTGTTTAACGTGTTTTTATTACAGAATAAGGGTGACAAACAAGTACACAGTCCTCCTGATGGCAGTGGCAGTGCGAGACCATTACACCTATCGTCGATTTAGAATCAAAATGCATTGTCACCCTAGAGGACTAAGACGGAATGCCTCGTTTCCTGTAAAAAGGGTATCCAGTTACCTACACTCACCATAAACATTGTACAATTATTAACATTTTATTGTTTATTACTGATTTAATTTCTTACACACTCTTGAAGAGTGTGGTTTGCAAGATGATGCGGTGACCAGGATTAAGAAAGGAATGCTTCGGTGGTTAGGTCATGTAGAAAGAATGAATGCGAAAAGACTGACAAAGCAAATAATATGTTGCAGAAGTGAATGGAAGAGTCGGAAAGGGACGTCCTAGGCGGAAGTTTGTCGACCAAATTGGCGATATACTAAAAATGGGCCAAATTAAGAGTACCCTTAACCGACGACCATGTATGCGTAGGTATATGGATGTGGAAGACGCGAGAAAGGTATGTCAGGATCGTGCTAAATGGAAGTCTGTAGTCTCTGCCTACCCCTCTGGGTGACAGGCGTGAGTGTTTATGTTTATGTTGTTAATTTCTTAACACGGGCTGCTAAAAGCTTAGAGATTGTACATACATAACTATTATTCTATAATCATTCAATTTATGATTATTATTTAAAAAATGATTACTATTAATTTTTGTTGTTAGAATTGGATGCAATTTTATTCAATATTTTTGCATGTAAAATTTAACCTTGTGCGTGTTGGATTTTCTGTAAGCCACAAGAGTTTTTGAATAAAATAAATAAAATAAAATGAAACACATTCCCTTACCTGTCTAGCCGAACCGTATTACAGCTGCAGCATGGCTCTACCACGTTAATTTTTTAATGCTGCTCAATATTTAAAAAAAAAAAAACTAGATTCTCGTGGTTAAGTCACGAATGTAGGCCGTCACAGATTTGCATCAATAGTTGATTGAATAACTTAAGGCGTTGAATGTGCTTACAAATTGAAATGAGCTATTTAATATTTGCTGGGAGTCACAATAACCTAGCTTGAAATACAAATACCATTGCTCAGAATTGATATTCATCAAGCAGCTGCGTGGAAAAAATGTAACAATTGAGATTACCCATCATGTAAGTTACGTAAGCCGCCACGTGCAGACTATTTATAAATCAACTGTTGGCCTAGATGTTTGCTCGAATATTGGTATAAGCAATTAGTTATAATATAAGAAATAATAGAGTTTTTAACTTTATCATAACAAATCGACTCGTCGAACAATCGACTTGCACAAATAGTGTTCAGTGTCATCCCCTCACCCATTTTATAAAAGCCTTGGTTTTTATTGTAAGGAAATAAATATTTATTACAATTAATTGCGCTGCATCTTTAATTCTGATAATTTTGATTTGAACAATATATTTATTTTGTTATTTATCTGAGCGCGATAGATTATTTTTGTTAGGCATACAGCAACCTTATTGGAATGTGTTCGGAGGAGCGTGAGACGAGTTGGCGTATTTCCCATACAATTTGAGCGGGTGCCATCCAGGACACTTTACTACAAGTGTGTATGTTGCTACACTTCAGATGCCACCCGGACTTTTTGCAAAATCGTTTAGTTTTTTTTATTGAATAGGGTGACAAACGAGCACACAGCGAGGACATAGTCAACCTGATGGTAAGCGGATTCTGTGGCCCATAGACATCTACATTTATCCTCGATTAAGTATCACGATGCAAATGCGTTGTCAGACTTGTCACCCGTCGAGGGTTTCACTAAGATGAAACGCCTCGATTCCAGCAAAAAGGGCCTCCGGTTCTTTACACTCACCATACGAAACCCAGCAGCATTGAGCTTCTATTTTACGTTGGCATTCTGTGAGAGCGTGGTTCTAAACCGGTTGAGCCGACCCATTCGTGCCACAACTGCGTGTGTTCAGCAGCGCAGCTCAGCATACTGCTGAACATAATTGACATTGTTGACACGCTTGGCAGACGGTTTAGCGGTTTTCTGATTTATTATTAATTAGTTATAAGTATGATTTACTGAATAATGGCGGTGTAAGGATATCCACTAGCCCTTATTGTCCAGTGGGTGTCGTAAGGGCGACAGAGGGAAACAAATCAGGAGGTGGGCAGAAGCACTTTCCTTACGACTAAAATCCGCTTGTCGTAAGCGTGTCAACTATGGAAAATATTCCCCCCATGAGATAATCTATGGGGGGAAGCCTATGTCCAGCAGTGGACTTTATTTTTATTTTCATTTATTTTACACTTTATTGTACTAAAGGTACAAACGGCGGACTTAATGCCATATGGCATTTTCTACCAGCCAACCGGAAAGTTAGTGGGAGATGCGTGTACTGCAGTGGGCTAGGATGAAACCTAAAATTGATAAATTTCACATACACATACACCTTCACCCCCTCCACACACACACCACACACACATACATACTCATAGCTCAAACTTAATTAAATATATATAAGGATCTAATAGATTAAATGTTATAGATTATTTTTATATTTTTGTGTCAGATGAAACCAAATAATGTTCCTTTACCTTTGTTTTAAAAATCCATTTGTTGGGGGATTTTCTTATTGCTAGGGGAAGCGCATTCCAGAGTCTTACAGCTGTAACAGCGAAAGAGTTTGAGAGGAAACCAGTACGGTGAGAGGGAGTATAGAGTACGAGATTGTTACGAGAGCGAAGATTGCAATCATGGGAAGAACCCAGGTATTGAAACTTACATTTCAAATACTCTGGGGCCAATGGATCGTTAAGAATAGTGAACAGAGTGCTAAGAATTCTAAGGCTCCTGCGTTGTGGGATATTTAACCATTTAAGTTGAGAGCGATAGAAAGAGATGTGGTCATACTTTCGAAGACCGTAAATGAAACGGATACAGTTGTTGAGAAGCCGATCCAATTTATTGACCAAGTATTTGTCTGCATCTAAGTAACACACATCAGCATAATCAAACATAGGAAGAATTAGCGATTGAATTAGATTTTTTTTCGTACAAGGCGGTAAGATATTTATATCTGTACAATTGTCTCAAAGTAGTACAAACTTTACGGCTAACTTCCTCAACATGACTGCGCCAAGTAAGTGAACAATCAAAGGTTAATCCCAAGTCCCTAACATGAGAGCTGTAAGGAATTACCTCGCCATTATAGATCAGAGGATCGAACGATGTATGATTAAGTTTACCAAATTGACGTGCACTGCCTAAGACTATAGCTTGGCATTTACTTGGATTAACAGCGACCCCATACCTTCTTGACCAATTAAGAATCCAGTTAAGATACCAGCGTGAAATAGTAGCTTAATGCTGCTGTATTTCGTATGGTGAGTGTAGAGAACCGGAGACCCTTTTTACTGGAAACGAGGCATTCCATCTTAGTCCTCGCGGGTGACAACGCATCTGCATTTTGATTCGTAATCGAGGATAGATGTAGATGTCTATGGGCCACAGCAACCACTTACCATCAGGTGGACTGTGTGCTCGTATGTCACCCTATCCTATAAAAAAAAAGATCGGAGTTAATCACGGTTACAGCATTATTTATGGAAGTAGCATCGGCATGAGCATAGAGTTGCAAGTCGTCGGCATACATATGGTAGGAAGCACGAAAATTACATGTTAATAAATATAGTAGTAACTTTAGTAGACTGCAACGGTATTAGTACGATGCTGCTGTCCGTCCCTGTTTCAGATTTCCTCTGTCGTCTCTGATGACATCCACGGAATGATATGAGCTAGTGAACTCTCTTAATATTTGAGATTCTTCTACTACACGGCAATAATATAACATATTTTATGTTGTACACCCTAAATGATGTGTGAACCATAAAGTGTCCAGAAATAATGCGTCGCAAAGCATTTCATCTATCATCTATCCCATCTGGTCTGGTAAAAGGTCAAAAACTACTTGATTGATTTTGTTATGGTTTTCACCCCCGTCCCCCCACCCTCTCCCTAATAAATAGTCTAACGACCTGAAAAAGCATGTCAATTTTGAGTGACTATTTTGCGGTATTATATAGGAGGCCTATGTTTAGCAGTAGATATGTGACGTGGTGTAATAATGATGTTAATGAAGAAGACATATGTCTTACATTCTCTTTTTGAATTAATATGATTTATCTACACGTTTATGTATACCGTGGATTTCGTGTTGAATAGACTTGTGTCGGTCGTTAACAAACTTAGCCTCTTAGTACTGTTAATTTTATTTTATTTTTATTTTATTTTATTTGGAAGACCAACAGCTATCATAATTAGGATAGATAGTATTAATAACAACAGTAGGCCAATTAAAGATCCTCACTAATAGATTAAGCTTCTGATATGACTTTAATATCACCCGAACGAAATAAGTTTACTCTTAAAACTTTACATCAGCTCTTTTTAATAATTACCTTTATTAAAATAATAATAATAATAATTTATTTGTTCAAACAAACAAAGAATATCTTAATTTATAGGATACAAACACTATAAGATACAGCTTAACAATGAATACAATTCAGTGAACATCTGTGTCTACTAGAAACTTAATATCTGTTGTCGAACTAGATAACTTAATATCTGTGTTTCAGACAGCAGCGCTCTTCCCTTTAAGATTTACATTTCACTGTATATAAAAAGATCAAAAATCATTAACTTAAAGTTGTAGAATGTAGGTAATTATTACAATATTGACTGAAGCGAATATTACAAGCGTTTACATACTCTGGTAAGGTTCACATTCGCACGAAACTCTTGCATGTTATGAAATAAGTTCGTGAAGGCAATGCCTTAACGACCGTAAACAATATTCGAACTTAAAGCACGCCAAATAATGAAATCAGCGTTAACGAGCGTCTTCCTGGCCAACTTAGTTTGTTATTGCACTTCAAATCACGTCAGTTCCGTTCTACCGATTAACTGAAGCACGCGAACAAATTAAACGATTATAGCTGTTTCCGTCTTTACGTCGACATATTTTTACCGGTTAATTTACTTGACTGATTCTTGAATGTTGTTAAATAAATATGTGATAAGAATCTTTATTATTTATATTTTATTTGCATTCGTGGTAGAGCCACGCTATATTATAGTTGTAGTTGTAAGGTTCAAGTCGACCGGGGAAAGATCACATTCTCACAAAATACGAGTACCAGCAGTAAAACTAATGAATGTGGCTTTGGGAAATGTGGCATTTCATTTTAGTCCTTAAGGTTGACAACGCATTTGTTTAATTATTTAATACTGTTATTATACGTAGTACTTTTTATTTTCTTCAACCGTTATATATTTAAATATTATTTAATAATTATTATTATATTAAATAAAAATAAATACCTCCGGCAAGATGGCCCACCACACCGGGATAGCCAGCACATGTGAAATTGCCGTAGTCTTCATAAATTCCGAACTTCAAACCTTTACTATGAACCTGGAACAATACAGAAATTTATTTTTAAATTGCTTATGACAAAGAATAACTACGAATTTGTTTTTTTTTTTTAGATTTTATGTGGTATAGTTTTTCAGAAACAGATTCCTAGAAACTATATCACATTCGTTACAATAGGTAAAAGGTAGTTTTTATTCATTCTTATTCTTATTAACGATTTATTTATTCTTCTTATTTTATTTTCTGTTATTTGGGTTAATTTTCGGACAAAGTATGCCAATATGAACGTACCTATTATTCTAAAAACACTCAAAATTAATATTATTATATAACCATATCAAAAAGACTCCCCCTATGCACAACGAAATGTTTAACTTAAGCAATTGAGTTTCTTTTATAGAATACGAGTGACAAACGAGCCCACAGTCCACCTGATGGAAAGTGATTACTGTGGCCTATACATTTATCCTCGATTAAGAATCCAAATGCAAATGCGTTATCACCCGTGAGGACTAAGATGGAATGCCTCGTTTCTAGTAAAAATGGTCTCCGGTTCTCTACACTCACCATTCGACACACAGCAACCTTAAGCTGCTATTTTACAATGATATTTTGTTAAAATCATCGGTCGAGCCGACACATTCATATTAAACCTAATATATAACTGCAGCATGGCTCTACCACGTATAACAACGTATAAGTATTGTTTGCAATGTTAAAAAATTATATCGAGCAAGCCCAAATTAAAGTTAAGAAACATCTAACTGCGATGTTCTTTAAGACAATAATTTGCCAATTGTAAGATAAATAATCCAGTTTGTTACAGAGCGTAACAAAGCAAAAAATTAGACTGTTATCTTCGATAATTGCAATAGACTAATACAGTAATAAAGTCAGGGTTACCACATAAACGTAACTATATTCAGGACGGCGAAAATCGTTATTGTTAATTATACAAAATTAGAGTATCTTTTATGATCTGTTGATTGTGTCGATAAAACGTTTAAAACGGAATAGTGTTTGTAAATATTTTATTTATTTAAGATTTTGGAAAATTTAAAACGGTTATAGTAATGCAACTATGTATAATAAGTAATACCGTTACAGCCAACAATAAGTATAGTGTTAAAATAAACCTTCTCCGTAGATATATTACACATATAATTAAATCATGGGAAGGGGGGTGTTTGCCATAGTCGTCATGATTGGTAAGCCATTTTTTTATTTCTTAGCTTCTTATTAGGAAGACACTGCCACCCATCTTCTGGTTTTTCCCTCTCACTTTTGACGACACCCACGGGACGATATGGTGTAGAGGATGTTCTTACTAAGCCACTTCACGGTGATACGTTATACACTTTTATCCAATTGATTATTTTTCACCGTAAATTTGAAAAATCATAACAAAGAATCGATCGATTTGGACATGGGCCTCTCCTAATACGAGGAAGATTTTTCATAATCGCCATGCTTGGTAGACAGAATGGTTATCGCCACTTTAAGGCATATTATTTCAGATTTTATTTCTAAACATTGTGTGCTATTTAAAGAAACTATTTTAATAACTCCTTTTTCCAATTGGTTTAAAAAATTTAATCGCTGATGACGTATTATGATGTTATCACTAAGTAATCTAAAAAAATATGAAAGAAACAGTGCCGCAATGCAACGATGCGTTAGTTGAAGCATGGCCAATTATGCGATATATTTACGCAACGAAATAATTGCTACTAAATCATCTGCAAATAGAACATAGAAAAAAGTAGTGACTGACTCATATTCTCATATTATTACAGATGGCAGTACGTCAATGTGTTTAACATGGTAACACTGATAATATGGCGCGTGAGAAAACCAGTTCTTGCATTGCCATTCTGAAATCGAAATCCATGTGACACTGTAATGAGGGTTTTAATAACTTCCTTAGTTTTCTCTTTATCATACACGGATATTCAAAGTTTATTGCAAATCTCTTGGGTAATTTATGATATACTAGTGGTTGCCCGTGATCGAAATTTGACCATAATTCATTAAAAAAAAATAAGTTTGTATTTTAAGCAAGCTGTATATCACTTTCCACTGCACATCAATGTATAAAACACAGTTATCTAATATTAAAAAATATAAAATAAACGGTTTATTATTTTTTTTAATCACTCAAAATTGACAGGTCATTCATTCAATCTGTAAATAATTATTTCTTCGCAATATTTTAAAATTCTTTTACATACTCGTATGTGTGTTACTCTAAGTTGGCGAAAATCTCTCCTCTGTCCGTGCAACTGTTTGACCACAGACTATTATGTTACTCTAGTCTTAAGACTTAGAACTTAAACAATGTCTGCGCTTGGCAGGAAAAAGCGCTAGCAAGCGCTTGTAAGCAAAATGGCGAAACTAAAGAGTTTTCGGCCAGGACACGTTTGCTAACTTCAGTAGCGCTGACACAATCCGCCATTTTGCTTATTTAATTTTTTTGTTTTGAAGTAGAGTTTATAAGTTGTTTTGTGCAATATAATTCGCAAAAAAATTTGTGTGTCACTCATGGGCAAAAAAACTATCCTATCTCTCAAGTTGGACTAAACTGCATACGGTGTGAAAATTTGATTAAAATCGGTTAAGTAGTTTAGGAGTTCATCGCGGACAAACAACGTGACACGTAATTTATATATATTAAGATGAATAAACATATTATACATGTTATTAAAAATTCATGATTGGTAAGTTTTTAAAATGAATACTTTGCAAACATATATTTAAATTAGGTTAGGTTCCCCGGTTAAAACTAACTTCGTGTACTAGAAAATACCTACTTACGATTTGACAGCGCTTACCGCTTACGATCGCCATTTTGCTTACAAGCGCTTGCTAGCGCTTTTTTCTGCCAAACGCAGCCATTGAATCTTTTTTTTATTAATTATCATATTTTTATAATAATTAATAAAATAAAACTATAAAATAAATATTAGCTTTCTACAAAGCTTTCTCTTCACCTATTAATATAACAAAGAAGAAGAGAATGTTACGATATATATTTTTAATATGAACTTCAGAAATGATTTTATATTCAATGTAACATGTGTTTCTAAACGATTTTACCGATTGACGTCACACAATCATAGACTTATACTACAAAATATATTTTTGTCAAAACAGTTGTTTATAGCTATGCTAGGATCGGATAGTTGGTGCTGTAGTCAAGTTATTAATGAGTTATTATTTATGGACTAAAACCAAAATTACTCATATTCACAATATGTATATGTTGGTTCAGTACCGATCATATTATAGCTGCAACGTGGTTCTACCACCTAAATATACATATTATACAGGGTTATTTTGCAATACTTAACCGATCAAATTTGCAGAGAAGGTTCAGAATAAGTAATATAGGCAAGTGACGAAGAAAAATTAATGAAAAAATCTTAAGCATTCTGTCAATTTCTGTCAAAATAATTCAAAATGCGTGGTAATAAGCAAAAACGTTGTTGCCCATAAATCACATTAAATTTGGGATAATTTCAAATAAATGTAGAAGCCTTATTTCCTCGTATTTTCAAAAACTGCAATAACGTTATGTTATTATTTATATATTTTAAATTAAGTTTAAAATTTGGCTACTCTTTGAAAAATAACCCTGTATAAATTGTAAATTACATTAGTAAAATTTATGGACGCAAACAAAAATGATCAGCGTTTTTGAACGTTGTATTAGGTACCTTTAGACACCCGGTCTTTATATAGGTACTGAAGCATAATTTGTTTTAGGAATCTCAACCATAGACCATACTTCCCCTTAACGAGCTCAATACCATTGAAGTATAATGTGTACATTATACCTCAATGCCAACTTGTATTCTACTCTTGCGTTAAACCTAGGTACCTGTAGTGGTTAAATGAAGTTACCATGTAAACTACTATGTAACTACTATCTGCACTTTAAGAAGTCCTTCAAAAATAATTTTTTATTTTATTTTAAATAATTATGCCAGTTTAAAGAAGGAGGAACACATGTTCCTGTTGGTTAACTGTGTTAAAAGCATTTGAATGTAAACAACCACTGTTAACTTGGGCTTATACAAACCTTTTTTTACATATACTTATTCTTAGGTCTTAGGTGACTTGAAAAAATCCTAATTGAATATTCAGCAGGCTATGTCAATTTGTATGGTAGAATAGGAAAAGGGCGAAAATGGCTAGGATGGTAATCTTTTTTTTTAAGTTTTTTTGTACTTAGATACATATTTTTTTATTTATTGAAAAGTAAGATGGGGGGTTGATGTGAAGTATCATTTGAGAACATAGTTTAGATTCCCAAGGCGTAGTACGCGTATCATATAGGCAAAAATTAATGTCAGTTCATAGTTAGTAAAATAAAACAACGTATTCGCATTGACGAGTGGCACAGCCTAAATTTTATTTAAAACCATAGAACAAACAAACATGTCTACCGACAATGCACGGCAGATGGCAGCACTAGTAACATATTGTGTAGATATTAGACCTTTATCAGTTAGTACTTTTATTTTTAGTAGAAGTAAAAGTAATAAATAGATTTTAGTTAGAAAGTTTTTTATATAATAAATTCCAAATTGAATAAAACTAATTTTACGGATTTAATCGCACAGAATTTAACTTATTTTTAAGCCAATAGTTTCAAATTCAATTTTTTGATTGTAGATCGGATGCTATAAAGCACGCGAAACATTTGAAAAACGTGGAGTAAAAATGAGTTAAGGGTTATAATATTAGTATAATTTGTTTTATTCAATGTGCAGTATTCGTGAAAATATATTTTAAAGGCCCAGCCTTATTGCAACTGGCGATTGTACAAGTCCTTCGTAATCCTTGCAGCATTGGAGACTTCCGTCGAAAGTGGGCGACCGCAACCAGTTTGCAATTGACGCAACCGAAATATATTCTCATGCCTTAAGGATATTGAATGTTTTAGAATTTGTATGAGCTTAAATTACATTATTACTTATTAGTATTAAGCAAATTATTCGATTGGAGAACTTGACGTAGGTACTGCTCATGCAATTTTAATTAATACCTATTTAAAAGTATGAAGAATATTTTATAGAATAAGGTTGTTTACCTGATGGTAAGTGGATGCTGTGGCTCATGGACATCTACATATATCCTCGATTAAGAATCAAAATGCATATGCGTTACCACCCCTGAGGACTAAGATGGAATTCCTCGTAAAAAGGGTCTGCGGTACTTTACTCTTCACTATACCAAACACAACAGCATTGAGCTGCTATTTGACGCTGGTATTCTGTGAGAGCGTGGTCCTTCCCCGGTCGAGCCGACCCATTCGTGCTACAACCATAATATAGTTGCGGCATGGCTCTAACACGTAGAAAACATAATCAAGTCGTATAGACAGTAAGCGCCTACTAAAACATATTGTCTACATCGACTCATTTTAAATGAAGTCAGCTACAGATTCGTTGTCTACCGACGGAATGTCTCAACGCGTAAAGTAAAGTAAAGTTACAGCCTACATACGCCCCACTGCTGGGCACAGGCCTCATTTCTGAGAAGGTTTTAGGGCAAGAATGTGTCCACCGCGCTGCCCTAATGCGTGTTGGCGAACTTCACATGTTTCGAAATTTTTTTTTCTTATTCCTCAGACATGCAGGTTTCCTCACGATGTTTTCCTTCACCGCCGAGCACGTGGTAAATCAGCACTTAAAACAGCAATTAACAATTTCATTGGTGCCGGCGGGGATCGAACCCGGGTTACTCGCGTTCTGTTATATTTACAGCGAGCGTTAACCATCCGAGCTACCACGGCTCTGATGATATACCGACACATGCGCGTCATCTGATGCCGTAGAAGATGCAAAAATACTTGTTATACCATATTCTTAATGCCTATAAGTATTTAATAGCACTCAAACCTTTTAAATTGGAAGACATGTAGATACACTGCTGCTTAGTGACAGAAATAGGTAAAACCTAGACCTAAAACAGATAAGGACTACTGGTAACATAAAAGGAATCACACCTAATAAGGTGGGTGACAGAAGAGTGACGTAACCGAAAATGCTAAAAGTAGATATGGACCGTTTCTTAATTAAAAAACATGCAAATGAATCTATCGACTCTACTTTAATAGGGCTATTAAACCAAAAACATATTTGGATAACAATTAAGCTACTATCACAATAAACGGCAAGATGCCTATTTCGTTATTCGTTGCGAACGGCGGCGAGCGGCGCGTGGGAACCGCACCTGATACCTCCGCGAAGGTCGAGATATCAAGATACTACGTGTGTCAGTCCGTATTGTTGTTCGTTTATTGTTATAGAGTTCACATGGAAGGGCCGACGTGTGTCGACATCGTTATGACGAGATCGTTGTGATAGTTTTATCTAAGTAAATCTTAAAATGCGTTAACGGTTGTACTAATCCTAATCCTAGCTATCATCACAGACCAGAGAACTCTTTACTTTTTACTTTGTGATTAAAAATTCGAAACTTTCTTTGTTTGTTTTTCCTTCTCAGATAGATTCAGAGATAGTTAGGAGAACGCAGATGGACACCTACTTTTCACTGCGGGAAAATTTCATTTTTCCTGACTTCTCATCTGTATAGGACTAATTTTCTCTTCTTTTTTAACCATTTTATTCACTTCTTTGGGAACACTGCTGGATAAGGGCATTTACAAAACTGTTATCAGTTGAATACACCGTGTGCGAGTGATTGAAATTTACATTATTTATTAACAAGCTTTAAAGGCGGCGCGATGAATATAGGGACTAATATAGTAAGAGACTAATATAGTAATGGACTAATATAGTAAGTAAGGGACTAATATAGTATATAATATGGTATCACTTGTTGAAACTAATCTTAATTATACAAAAATCGAAAGAAAAAATCAGCTCTATCCGGTACTTAAATTAAATTAAAAGTAAAGTTATAGCCTACATACGCCCCACTGCACAGGACTCCTCTGACTTCTGAGAGGGTTTTAGGGGAAGTATTGTTCGCCGCGCTGCCCCAATGCATGTTGGCGGACTTCACATCATGTATTCGAAATATTTTTTTTTTCTTCTCAGACATGTAGGTTTACTCAGGATGTTTTCCTTCAACGTCGAGCACGTGCTACTTAAATTTTACTATTTATTAATGTAACTGATTTTGTTCAAATTTGTTATTTTTTCTGTCGAGAGAATTATAGCAAATTAACATTTTATTCCTTATGGTTTATTAAATATTATGTTTATCAAATATCAATATTAAATAAAATATATCTAAAAGTTCAAACCGAGTCTCATTGAATCGTTATTTCAACCGCATGCAACGCAATATTCGTCTGATTAATTAAATACATAAAAGAAATAATTAATGTTCTCATATGGCTCCATTTGCAACACCCACTTGAAATCAGATATCACACCAAAATTATTCATTTTAACCTTCGCACAATAGCGGAATGTATTTTGTAACAAATGAGTTACTATAAAAGGTTAGGTAAAATTTTCGTGAGGTCAAATTTATTTGGCTGTAATTGGTACAATTTTAATACCTACGCAGGATATTGTTCTATAAAGGAAATAATAATAATTTGATAAATTGATTCAGACATTGGCCAAATAATCAAAATGTTCTACATGCGTATGACTAAAAATAATAAACGTAAATTAAAAAGTTAATTTTTGGCGGGAAACATATAAATAATAATAGGATCAAAAATCAGCTGTTTTTTTACCCGCGGCTTTACTTGCATATTCTTCACTTTACCATTATCGGTGTGTCTCATCATCGTCTTTCAGAGTGTCTATCCGTATGTCATGAACGTTTTCTTATAGCTGGACATAGCTTTTCCCCAAGGAATGCCACAAAATACGGGTCTCAACCACCTGCATCCACCGCTTTACCATGCTGCATGCTTTATGAAGTTGTCACTCCATCTAGTCACTAGTTATTGCCTCGTTGGTTTAGTGGTTGTAGTAGTGCGACTGCTGATCATGACGTCCCAGGTTCGAATCCCGGGTCTGATCAAAAAATCAATTATTGAGTTTTTCCGTTAAGAAATTCTCAATAGCTGCCCGGAGTCAGAAAGTTGGCGGTGTCTCACCCCCATGCCTCAAAAAGCACGTAAAGTCGTTGGTCCTGCGCCTGATCTCCAAGTACCACCACACAAGAGGACAGAATGAAACAGCTATTGAAGGACTTCAAGTACCGGTTATCCACCCGCTTTCAGAAAACCACTGTGATTTCGTCGTCAACCGACGCCTTGCCGTTTTTAAGATGTTGGAGAGTCAGCTTTTTTATTTTTCTTATATTCGTTTGCTTGATGTTTATTAAAGGTGACATTTTCGTAACTGGGTGGTTTTAGTGACTTTAGAAAGTTTTTAAATAATTTTTTTACGTGGTAGAGACATGCTGCAGTTATATTAGTAGTGTAGTTGTAGCACGAATGGGTCGGCTCGACCGGAGAAGGACCACGTTCTCACATGTTTCGTATGGTGAGTGTAGAGAACCGGATACGCTTTTTATTGGAAACGAGGCATTCCACCTAAGTCCTCACGGATGACAACGCATCTGCATTTTGATTCGTAATCAAGGATACATGTAGGTGTCTATAGGCCACAGCAACCACTTACCATCAGGTCTGTGTGCTCGTTTGTCATCCAATCCTATAAAAAAAAATTAAGTCATTTGTGGAAAATATAACAGATGTAGGATCTGAATTTACTAAATTAACATGTAAGGAAAAAAGTCTGCCGAGTGCCGAAGTCTGCCGAACTGAAACGACGTTAGACGATGCACGGCTTTCAACGCCACACCTCCGTGCCCGTCGGAGTGGGGAGCGTGAGGTTTTTTTCGTTACGGAATTTCTGGATTCGGTCCCCGCGCTCAAGGCCCGCGATAGAAGCTATGCAATAGCTTAAATATTGAATAGTTCTACAACAAATGTCATGGCACTGTACAACATTCATTATCCATGGTCATGAAACGCAAAAGAGATGAAACCACTACAGGCTATTAAAGTTAATTTAGGCCTTCCCCACAGCTTGCCTCAACAAATCACAAGGGAAATCACATGGGTTGGGAACCGCAGTCTTTTATTTTTAGTCGTTATTAGGAATACACTGCTGCCCCTCAAGCGACGTCGCTTCTTACGACACCCACGGGATAGCATGGGATCGTAATTTTCTTACACCGCCACTATACGGTAAAAAGAAAATGTAAAAGAGACGAAAGCGAGTAAGCAAATGACCGTGTATTTATACGATAAGGTTTTATTTCGTCGTCAATTTACTGTACAGACTAAACTGTTTTGAAATCAATGTTATTTTAAAATGACCATTAGCGCACTGAAATTAGTAAAGTTTTTTCTAATTTATCCCATGTCAATCAGTTATTGAACTGAAAATCTTTTATTATCTAGACAATATTGATTCTTCAGCCCAGGTTCATCCGTTACATTTGACCCAGTTGGTTGCTAAAATGCAAGGCGTTTATTGAATCAGAAATATAAGAGAAAGCAAAGCTTGACTGGAGTTCTATCTTTGTTGTTGTTGTTATTGATTTAATTGTTTTGATTATTAAATAATATAACTATTGACAAGCCTTATGGTAACGAGTTTAACATTGTTATGTTAAACCACCCATAATCATATATCACCAATACTATTAATATAATATAATAACAAAATATCAATATTCCACTAATATCAAAAACAAAATAATATCATATGTACCCATAATCACTTAACTATTATAGTGACAATAAGTCAGAAGGAGTGCGCACCTGAGGTGCGACGGCTAAATGTTAGTAATAGTAATTTAAAATAATAGTTTAACACCTATTTTAAAATTTAAAACTTGCGTTATTTACACTTTTTTATTCTTATAAGATTATACTTACATATTTGAATCAAATGTAAACAAACTGTTTCGCAGTTTGGTGGATGTGAAAAATGTACTAAAGGTTTGGTCCAGAATAAATGTATTTATTATATCAAAATATATTAATTACTTATACTCGTATTTAAAAAAAAAGTTAATTTTTATTCGTGACTGTGGCGTTATTTAAATTTAAGATAACAAACAAAGATCATTTGTTTTATCAATTTATTGATTTTCTAAAAAAGTCCCAAGTTTTTCGGGTAATTTAAATATCTAGATTATTCATGACATAGCCTTCTTTCTGCTCGTCAAGTTTCATTACAGTCGGTTCTCGGACAGACGAATAGACAAAAATACTGAAATAGTTATTCATGTCTTAAGTGTTGGTATTAATATACCACCTCCGATCAAAGACAGCAAAACAGTTCGCACTTTTAAAACAAAACTAAAAGAATACCTTTTAAATTAGCAATGTAAGTAGAATAATTCTGTGTCGATGTATCATACCTTTCTTATCAAGTATACTGTGTCTGTATATTATAAAACTAATAAATACTTGGTTAATTCTACATTCGTTTATTTTGCTTTTGTATCTTACTTAATTTAATTGTGTGGCTTGTGCAAGGCACATGCCTATTGTTGCGCTTTTTGTTGTGTTCGCTTTTTGTTGTGCGTTTTTACCTAAATGTTAACAGTTTTGTTTTTTTTTTTTAATTGTTATACTTGTGTTTTTTATATATAAGTAAAGTGTGTATTTTATAAGTGTTGGAACCTGTAATTAGTGTGATAAGTTTATTTTATTCCACCTTTGTCTCTGACGTTTACTGAAAATCAGTAGTTGTAGTTACCATTATGTGGTTTCTATAACATTTCTGCTGAGTGGACCCCTTTTTAGTTCTATTCCATTAAATTATTACGTTATGTTAATTTGTGTGTATGTTTGGAACTAAATAAATTATATCATTATTATTATGGGGTATCTATAGTGTTTTCTCATCTAGTTGGGTTCCATAAATATGTACCTAATTGTGAATGAAAATGATAAATATACATAAATGTCAATAAAATAAAATAAATACATTAAAAAAAGCCCAATCAGATGGCAGCCCTGGACAGGGGAGACCAAGCGGCCAAGGGTTAGGGGGAAAGGGAATTATTATTATAATTATTATCATAATGGCATGAAAATTACTTCATCGGATCAATAAAATGCAGTTATTTCGATATTAGGTAGGTACTGACAGACATTTCACAATTTTATTTAGTACATGTATAGTTTAGTATAATATATAGTTGGTGTATAGATTATTAGGTAAATAAGAACTAAAGTAAAGTGAATTAAGAACTATGAAGGGTGGGTACTCAGGGGCTTGTTCTAATTTCTGAAGGCTGGGTAAAATTCCGTAGGTGTGCAGCATTGTTAGCGTTGTTCCATTTCTAGTGGTATTGGTAATTTGGTTGATCTCAGTGGCGAAGGAAAACATTGTGATGAAATGAAGCCCACATTTAAATTAAAATGTTAAAAGAACGCGGGAAATACACCAACTCCCATTGCATCAGTGGGGTTAAACCATTTTTGATCCATAACGCTCTAAAAACGTAAGCTTATAGACTTTTGATTTAGTAGCTCTTAAAATAGATCATTTAACTTAGTTTAACATCTATTAACATATAATGTAGAAGTTATAACTTAATACTTAATATTTTTATTATTTAATAAATATACACTACGATTCTCTCTACTTTATACTAATTATTTTTAGTACTTTTATAATACAATATTACTTAATAGTACTGTTATTACAACATTACTTAATTTAACGTTTATTTTCTGCTAATATTTAGTAAATTTGCCTAAAGTCAAAGTTTTGGTCACCTAAAATTCCCCCCCGAACGGGTTCCCGCCTTGTCGTGGCGGGGGGGCTTAGTAGCCGTGGCTTGGTCTCCCACGGTGAACAAAGAGGAACCCACGTGGCTGGCCCGAGGTGAAGGGCCGGCCTGAGGTGGCCGCTCCGAGTGGGCTTGGGGAGCCCACTTCGGATGTGTGCTGGTGGACTGCAGCGAGTGGGGACTCGCGCACCCTCTACCGCTGCAGTCGAGGTGGAGTCGCGGAGGAAGAGGAGTGTTGGTATGGCGATGCGCCACTCGCCCTATCCTTCGCGACTCAAACGGGGCCGCACCGTTGATGCGGTGGTGGTGGGGCTGCGGGGGGAGAGGATTGTCGGTATTGCGAGGCGCCGCTCTCCCTACCCTCCGCAGCCGAATCTTGGTTGGCGGCGGAGCCATAGACCAGATCCGCCGCTGGGGTCGGGAAGGCTAGTACTTCTAAGTGCTCGTTTTTCCTGGCCCCATGGCCTTTGTGCATCGGACGCGGGGGGCGTCTGTTGCACAGACGTAGTTGGAGGCCGTGGAGGAAGGCGCGCCATGTGTTCTGGTGCGCCTTACCTGGGAAGGAGAACGGGGAGGAATTTTCCTCTCCCGAGGAGGTGCTGCCATGGGGCGGCAGGTGCTAGTAGGGCCGCGGATGTGTGCGAAAGCGTTCCCGTAGCCCTGCCAATATGCGACAAAGGTGGAACACCATGGGGTTTTAGTCGGTGCGAGTCCGACATAACCCGTCCTTGCCCCCCGCGAGGCGGGTATGCGTAGGCATTTCCCCATGCAAAAAAAAAAAAAAATGGTCACCTAAAATTAACTAGTTACTCTTAAAATAATCGCGAACACCGTTCGTTTACCACGACCTTCGCGATCTTGAACATTTCGGCTTTTTCTCACGGCATGCGGCCGATTGTTATGACATTGAAAGTAATCGGGGTTTATAAAGTAACAAATAACTTTGCATATGCGGATCTGTAGCAATAATATCAATGTAATACTATATATGAAACAATGGATATAATATATCCATATATCCGATAGCTATTAACAAATCCTATACCTTTAAACGAGCAATTCTTGTATGTATATAATCGGAATCTCGGAAACGGCTCCAACGATTTTCATAAAATTTAGTGTCCAGGGAGTTTCGGGGGCAATAAATCGATCTAGCTAGGATTTATTTATAGAAAATGTCTTTTTGTCCGTGTTTTCAGGCAATTAAAAACTGCTACAATATAAGAAGGTAAATTTTGACACTGTGTTAATGATGGTAATAACTCAGATGGATATCGAGCGGTCGCGTAATCGTAACGCCTTGGTTCGCGTCCTGTCTTCGGTCCGACTTTTTTTCCTTTTTTATTCAAGTTCCCTTCTTTTGTGAGAAAATCTGTTAAGTCGAGCACCTTTTTTTAGTATTTTTTTAAAAATACAAAAATTTTAATTAAACTAATTGCACTCATGATTTTTTATTCAAATAACCAGTTCAGTTTTTCCAATTATGTCAATAAGATCAAAAAATGTTATTCATGTTTCATCAGTTTGTAATTTGTATCTAAATGTAATTTCAAAAAAAAAACCGAGCAAAACTCGGTCATCCGGGTACTTCTTATATAGTTCATAAGTCATTAGAGTTTAGAGCCATTACCTAAATTCAATAATCATATTATCTCAAAAAAAAAAGTATCGAACATACAGTTCGAAATATACAGTTTTGTATTACAAAATAATAGTTTATTTTATCAAGTCTTTTTTTATCAATTGAATACTGGATTTTAATCTGAGATATAGTAAATGAAAAAGTATAAAGTAATTATTTTGAAGGCAAGTCAGGAGACAACAGTAGTGTATATTAATGCATCATTCTGTATCAACTACTCGT